GCACTGTCTCTGTACCTTTACCTGCATGGTTCCTGTAGTTCTGCATCCCTGACTTTCCCGGCCCATCCCGGCATGCACTTTTCTCTGGTTATATCCCGTCAGTTCCTCAGGATTGGATCCTGTACTTGGTAAGCAAAGGGTTGTCTGGATTTCTTTCTCCAAAAACCAGAAAGCAGTAGTATGAAATAACTCTACAGTTGTAACAGAGACTGCTACTAGAGCCTTTTTGGTAACATCTGTGGCTGAACAGTTCCTTGAGCATAGCATAGAACTTAAAAAATCAAATTATGTAAGAGTAAAATCATCCTGATGCAAATAGCTCATAAAGGCAAGAAAAGGTTAAAGAATACTACGAGCTGTTTCCATATCTGAATCTGTTATTGGGCATGTCAGGATTTCTGTGCAGATAACTAAGTTGCCTCACAATTGCACCATAAAAGAAAAAAAATTATGGGAGATTCCTTCCTAAGACTTTCCTGGTTCATGTGGATCATCAGGCATGGTAGCAAAAGGAAACCTTATCAAAGCCTAACCAGCCATGGGTTTATTATTCTGTTCAAGGAGAATTGCATTCAAGAAGATATGCTGAAAAATGTTAAAATTTAGAAAGCTAATATTGTGGTAACAAATATTCTGGGTTGTTTGGTTTTTGTTGTTGTTGTTTTTTTTTTTTCCATTTACATCTTCACAGTATTTGTTCAGAGTAGAACTTGCTGCATACTCTGCCATAACTTTTGTGTTTAAAACAACTTTTTTTCTTTCGTACCTAAATATCTGTTCAGTTAGTATTGCTGTGTTGAAAGTTTTGTTTTATTTGCTCTCTGACACTGTAATAATGGCAAGCACGTCCTTTCACTCCAGTCTTGGTTTTGAGCTGTTCCTCTGCCTTGGACAGGAGCAGTGCTTCCTGATACCCTTGGCTGCCAGCCTTAATGTTAATTTCTACATTGCCAGATTTTGAGTTAATCATAGCATTTATACTGGGAAGTTGTAGCCTCAGCAGCCTGAGAACCAGTATTAAGAATACAGTGGAATAAAGCCTTTAATTGTCTGTACTAAACTGTCTTGTTGAGAAGAATGACCCAATTAAAAAATAATGAACCAACCAATGTCCTCAACAGCTACCCTCAAAAGCTGCCAAACAGCCAGGAACAGCTAAGGTTTGAGTTTAAATCATTCCAGAACAGCTCCAAGAAAACCATGTATGAAATCTTACAAATATTTAAGAGGGATTGGTTGCTACTCTGTGAGGTGGTCATCCTGTACTTAACTATGCCAGGCAGAACTGTAAGTCAGGTGATGTTCATGAGAAGTAAGCTCTGGTATTTAATCCAGTATTGCTGTGTTGCACTGTTCTGACTAATACTGTATTTTTGTAACTGTTTTTCTTTTTTTGTTTTGGTTTGGTTTTGTAGGACAAAGTTGGAGAATTTGCAAAACTGAGTAAGATTGAATTGCTTGAAGCCACCGAAAAATCCATCGGTCCTCCAGAAATGTACCAATTTCACTGTGAACTGAAAAACTTCAGAGAAAAGGAAAAAGAACTGGAGGTAAACTTGCACATTAGGGAGGCAGAGAGCAGTGACTATAGGGAAATTAGTGTAATAAAACTTAACGTGAGATCTTACAGAATTAGAAGGAGGTATTTATTTACAAGGTCTGTGGTAGGTTTATTTTACCAAATCATGCCCATCTTCTCTCAGAATTCTTTCACTCTGACACTCACATGCTCACAAGCACAAAGGCACGTTTGCAAGTGTTCCGGACGCAGAAGACCGGAGGTGCCTGTTGTCAAGTACTCGGTACTTCTCTTGGGTTTATGACTGGCAATGACTTTTCTGGACAGATCTTTTATGCCTTTTAGAAGTCATCAGCTGTTACAGGGTGGCCCTTTGTTTTAGTCTTGCTGACTTCAGCTTCCTTAAGTTATGGACAAGATTGTTGCCTGCTACCTGTTTTTCCTGGTTTGGAATATTAATTGACAAAGAGGAAAAGAGAGAGTGTATGGAGTAAGCGGCAATGTTGTTGCCATCCTGAATTTAGGACACAGGGTCTTTCCC